TTTTTTTTGCAATTAAATATATTTTTCGTGAAATGACAAAAGTAGTGGTAAACGGAGCAGGTCTGAGTGATGAAGGGCCCGACTGATTTCTTAATTAACAGTCACAATGGGGGAGAGATTGGAGCTACCGGCTAGTTGTGAACTAAGATTTATGTAACAGATGTGAGACTGTATCTCGCACAGCAGGGATTCTCGCCAAGCTGCGGATGACATTCAAATGTTGGTGTTTCTAATATGATAAGAGGATCTTTGATCTGCCCTAACTGCTGAAAGCCTGTATGTGTGCCCCCAGTAATTTTTACAGATTCCTTTTATCAGAAAATCCTGAATCTGTAGAAGCATTGGGTTTGTTACAAGGGAGGCCCTGGACTGCTCCATACATCAAAGGGCCGTGTTTACTTTGAAGCCCACAGTAAGGTTTGCCCAGACTTAAATTATTCAATATAAACACCACATTCTGTCTAACATGTTGTAGCATGCCACCGTCTACCAGTTGTATCATCATCCTTCTTCTACAGTTGGTAGTAGTAGTAGTAGTAGTACATTTCTTTCGCAATCGATGCCCTTAAAACCCTGAGAGACTGATTTAACTCCCTTACACAGCCAATAAGCCGTTACCCAATACCCTTGAGATGGACTACAAACTGACAAACTATTAGCCTGAACACAGGGAAATGTAACCTGACCCCGACTCCCCTATATATAGCTGTTAATACCAATGAATTAGGGAGGCATACTACAGTTACATCATGACCCCAACCTTTTATTGGTTGAGTAGCCCTTTTATAGTTGTACTGTCATACCCAAATCTAGTGCTATCTATATATATATTTGATACTGTCATCCATGTAATTTTCATAAATACTTATTTCTGTGACAGCGTTTTGAATGAGTTATCAGAAGGATCCAAAATCGTGGAATACACAGTAAGTTATAAATATCCCTGTCAAAATATGTACGTATATTTTTTCATAACATTTTTAGTTTGCTTTGTTCATTATTTTCATCAAATTGACATCAACCTTTACATATCACAAAATACAAGTGTACGTAAAAGGCGTTAACTATATATCATAAGAGCACCATAAACTGGACCTATTTATTGCCAATCACAGGGCCTCTTACATATTGGTTGAACAACCAATCACAGGACCTGTTACATATTGGTTGAACAACCAATCACTGGGCCTGTTACATATTTGTCAACAAACCTACTTTGCAAACCACTCATAGGCTCTATAACATAACCGTGTTGAATCCAGATCTGAATAACTACATACAAAATTCTGTTACAAACACGCGGGACCTTTTGTATGTTTGTGTCCCCCACGGGGCAGACTTCGAAGCTCTACTTCATGACCAAATTGTTCAAATTTTATGGATATATGTACAGAGTCTATTATATTTTCTTCAACATAATACAACATGATTCACAAATACCATGTTTGAGAAATAAAACTATACTATGCAGTATTTTTACTTACTTTTCTGTTGACGGATCCATAGCGTTTGGCACAGCCATCGGCGATATGGACTCGATCATGCTTATTCCACTGTCTATGTTGCTGCTTGTATCCGAATGTTTACGATTAGCACGGCGTGTAGTCCGACCCCTATCTGTAGTTTCACTATTTCCTGACCCTTGTCCACGCGCACTAGAATTAGCATCACCCGGCCAACAACTCACATGTTGCTGAGCCTCAATTTCAATATATGTCTTGGACTTAGGGTCACGCGAATGATGGTGATGATGGTGATGGTGAATGTGACGATGTGTTTCCACGTTAGGTTTTTCCTCGCCCATTCCACTGTCAAACGAGGAATGATAGTCTGGACGTTTCTTGTGAAATGATTTGTTGTGCACTGCAGATGGCAAGGTGTTGGGCAAGGGCATTGTCTGATTGGGATTTGCCGATGACTTGCGATCGGCTGCCGACCTCTTTAGTGACGGTGACTGTTGTCCAGGCGACCGAGTGGGCGTCTGTTGAGCGGAGCTCTCCCATATTCGGGACACATGATCCTCCAGAATGCTATTCGGATTGTCGTCGTCCATTATCACAGCAGATGTCATTAAAGGCATAGAGGTAGCAGAGGACGTATTCCTCAACATTGCCGACCGGTCAAGTGACCGATCTAATCTGTCTATTGACCGATCCATGGATCGATCTATTGACCGGTCTATAGACCTGTCGAGTCGTTCGAGTCGGTCTACGGATCGATCCACAGTCCTGTTTAACATTGATCTATCCACTTCCTCCAGGTCGGACTGAAAAAATGGGAAAGACTATTAAAATCTCACATTATGTACAATATAATTAAAATCAAGATCAAAATCAATAACTACACATTGTTTCCTCCTTGTTTTTCAATCTCTTTTTATACTCTAGAACAAGATATCATTCAAGACCATTGAATGATCCATTTCAAAAGCTAAAACATTGACATCCTCGCTTCTTTGAAAAGCAGTCATTTTTTTCAATTGACAGTCTCAATTGGCATTTATTACAATAAAACTTCATTATATCAATAATTTTAGGTGTTTTTTCTCTCAATATTTCAAAAAGATGACGTGAAACAACACAATTATTGTGTTATCTTGTCAAAGAACTGAATATGGTAAACAAGCTTACCTCTAAAATCCTACTCATAGAGGCATGAAGTTTCTCCTCTTTCTCCCGCTCCTTCAAAACTCGCTCCAGCTTCTCCATCAGCAGGGCTGCAAACTTTTTAGGATTCACTTCAGCAATATTGGAGTCCTTTGGTGCTCTCTGAGTACGCTGCAAAACAAGCAAAATATTTTCTGTAAACTGAGAAGATGAAAACCTTCAGTCAAATGTACAACTCTGTTTCATGACAAGTTTCCCTTAATCAGAATCCTGGACCAACACGGTAGAGCTTCAGCATTGTTAACCAAACATTTACCAGTTAAAATATTTCAAAATATTATTTTTTTCGCAAATAATTCAAAATATGCACGACGTTTCATTCTTTTCATATTTACATGAATGTTTTGAACCCAAACACAGGCAGTTTACTTTCGTTGAGAAAATAATAGTGAAAATGATGGATGTCGCAATGAAATGAGCAAGTTATATAAAAGCCTGTAGGACTTAAGCTTCAAACAATACGAGTCTGATGACCAAACAGGGACCGGGATAGGCTGGTGTATGTAAATTGTATATGAATACATGTATCAAACACCTCATTGCCTTTTGTCTACAGGGATGTCATGCTCTCTGAAGCCTTTATGCCCTGATATATTAACTAGGAAAACAGCCTTTGAGTCCACAAACATGATACAAATCAACCCGAGCCATCAAAGCCTGTTTTCAAGCCTTTGTTGTCATCCGATTGTTTTTGAAAGTATATCCTCCAGGATGTTTTCTACCTGCACTTTCTATTTGTTCTAACTGTGGCTAGGTTTATTTATACCGGATCAAATGAAAGAATTATTGCAGCATCGCAGCATATCAAAAAGACGAAAACAGCAGATGTGTTCATAAAATTTTTGAAACAGATGCAAAATTTATTTTCCTTGATTACAAGCTACAGTAGATTGTTTTGCAGTCGGGAACTGTTGTTTATTTTAAAATCACAAAGGGGATTTATTTCAACACAGGACCCAGTTCAAATATACCTGTAAAACAACCTGTGACAAGCCGTGATCGTATAGAGCTATTAAGGTCCCCTTTTGTCTTCTCTCGTTTGTTTGTTAATTGTTTTTATCTGTATGGATCTTTCAAAAACAAAACAAAAACGAAAACCAACATGAAAAGGGTCTATTTCCTTATATCCAGGCGCACACAGAAACAATGAAAAGCAAGTGTGTGCATTATTAATTAAACATCACACACAAAAAACGCCCGATATCTTCATCAAAGATCAGACAACATGTAAGTGTGGCTTCTGAGGTAAGTTCTGCCTTGTTCTCCGAGATTTCAAAGGCCGAACCGCTAACAGGACAGGGCAAAGTGATGAAACCTTCAATAGTTTATGAAATATGCAGGTAAAATGTCTGCCGCAAACATTCGAGTGATGACTGGGTTTTGACATGAAAGAGATCCACTAACGGCTGCCTCGCTTTTTGCTTCACTTTCAACAATCAACATAACTAGGGACCAGGGGCTGTGATCCAACAGATGTGATACACTTGAAATGCAAGTATGGGTGTGTCTGGTTTTTTTAAATTCGTACTTTTATTTTTTGAAACACAAACAGATCTGAAGGAGTTGAAAAGTTGTTAGATTTGCGTACAAAGGAGTGGGGGTAAACTAATTAAAGACCGTCGCTTAGGTGCGAGGTATCTGTGTAAAGAGATGGAGTATCTCCAGGCAGAAAAACAATCTCGAAAACTTGGGAGAAAAAAATGTATTTTCGTAGTTGAAGTTTCACATTGTTGGGTAACTGAGTAATTGGATGTTTCTCGTTTAAATAAAACCCAGATGCACAGAAGGGGTAAATAAGGGGTCGACAGGAGAAATGAGGTAGACAAACAGCAAAAAGGAGATGTGATGACACTTTGAGGGGGCTGAAAGGGACAGGAGAAGGAAATGGGGGAATAATAAG